ATCTTTATAATAAATGTGAAGCTAACATTATAATTTATTAATTAATATTTATTCATAATAACTACTAAAATTTCATAACTTTCATAACCAAAATTTTGAAAATAAAAAAGTTAAAATAATTAACTTATTAATTATTACATTATTATTATTGAATCAATTGAAGTAACATGCAAAAAAATAGATATTTTATTATAGGAAATAGATTATGTATGCAACTAGTTATTTTATTACGAGTATCAAGAAATATTTACATGCATATGCATAATAAATTACTATAGAATAAAGGCATAACAAGTAGTCTAATCAAATATTTATGAACCTAATACAAGTAACACAGATTACAACCCTAATAAAGAATGATATATTTATCCTGTAATAAATAACAATTCCTTTCTTGAGTTGCTACACTTAGAAATCATATTTTCCTAGAATAAAGGAGATAATGTTAGCTGGTTATTATCTCAAAAGCCCTAGACAATACAAGCTCCCATATCAAACATGCTCACATTCTTACATGCATTAAAGAATAAATACAAAAATAATAACAACATCAACCCTTTATCCCATTACGTGCGATCAACAGCTTGAATCATTTTTCTCCATTGTGTAAATAAGTAAAACTAATTAGCATAGTAACAACTTACGTCGTATAGATGATCCTAGGTAAAATTTAGATAAAAAATCAAACTTACCATTAAGATCTCTAAGTAAAATTTCTCTAACATCATCAAAACAATCAATATAATATCCTACATCTAATTACAATCAACCCTAACCTAATCTAATAAGAAAAAAATTGTAGATAGTCATTAGAAAAAAAAAGTAGATGGTCATTAGCAGGAATAAATGAGGAAGAATGGAAAGAGGTGGAAAGAGGGCTCGTGATGAAGAAGAGGGGCAAGGGGGAAGAGTTTGGCGATGACAACCTTTGATTGAGGGAAGAGGAAGACTCTTATATGAAGAGGGATGAGGAGAAGATGAGGGTATTTTGGTGGAGGCTTTGCGGCTTGAGAGAGAGAAAAAAAAAACTAGGGATAGGGCTTGTAACTCAAATTTTTGATAAAAGGGGGTTTGGCGGCTGTAGAGGAAGGTGAGGGAAGATCTTGTAATGTCCTAGTCTCAAGTGTCAACTCGAATCATGTAGATAGGTGACAACGCATGTGGATTTCATCAAAGATTGTAGGCAGATGCAGGAGCATGAAAGAGAGTCTGATCGGGCTTTCGCATGAAGAAGGCATGAGATCAAGTTGGTCGGCATTGTGAGGTCTAGTTTGGTTCATTGTTCACTGGCCATAATAAATTTATACATAATTATATAGACCTTATTTTTATGATTGATAAATCTCTGTTTACAAATTTTGGCATAACTTGGAAGCCATCTTATTTGAATTCTTTTTTGCCGGTATCTTTATTGACAATGAAAGTGTGATATGATTGAACTTTGCAGGTGAAATCTTTTATAAATCAATATGAAGTTGATGAATGGCTGTTAGGTAATCCCTTGTGTTGCCCTGGTGCATTGCACTTTGTGGAGAAAAACTCAACGATTATAAGTTATGGTCTTCAGACTAATTCCACTTCTATGTTGAAGAGAGGGAACTCTCAGGATCCAACATTCAAGTTCCAAATTCCTCTTCAGGTTGCTGCAGAACGTGAAATTGCAAGGAGTTTGCTTGGAGGTACCAATGCTCTTCCCTTTGATCTGTGCTTCATTTCTTCACTTAGATTCTCCATTATTATGAACAAGATATCCAGGCAAATGATGAATATGAACACTCTTCGGAATCTATTTATAGTTGAAGTGTCAAAAGTTTAGATATCCTTTTTTAAAAAAGAGAAAGCTAATATGGTTCGTGAAAGAAAGTGAGTGTATTAGAAGATTTGTTGCTTTTTCTAAGACATTTACCAAGACTCACAATTTATATTCATAGTATTTAATTACCATCTTCACTTAAGTTAAGTGTGATTTATGCTTTTGTTTTTGTTATCATAAAATATTTTAAATTCCGTAAGTTTAAGGTTTGAATTTTGGTTTAATTTATTGCACTATGAATTATTTCAAAACTCAGCATCTTTAAAAGCTATGGTTTTGTAGAAATTAAACCGAGAAGCACATATTGTTTATTCCTGCTAATGTAACACTAGTAAAAAATGCAAATGTTTAACTACAATGATTGCTAACAAAGATTCAACAAGCTAATCCATCATAGTTGTTGATAAGTTGCTGATTATTATCTGAATATGTTGTTACTTTTTTATCAGAGCCCTTCATTTGGATGATCATATTTTTTTTTCAAAAATTTGAACTCTACTTTTCACTAATGCTGCCCTATATGTATGGACAGATCCCAGTTTTGAATGGGTTGTTGGATTCAAAGAATTCGCTCACACTGCTACAGAAACATTTTCTGTTGTTGGGGAAGCTGGAGCAACGTTTTTCCTTGCAGTTGCCATGTTTGGATTTGTAATTCAAACAAGTTCTTTTGTTATAGAGAAGGAACTTAAGCTTCGTCAGGTAATATAACTTGCACCATACTAACCATGTTGCTACGAGTTTTATATGCATTCAAAATATCTAGCTGATGATGAAAAGTCATTGGTTTGAACATTGCAGGCTATGTCCATTATGGGTCTCTATTAATCTGCCTATTGGTTGTCTTGGTTTACCTGGGAAGCTTTTCTTACCCTTATTGCTTCTCTTTCCACGGTTTTGTTTGGGATGTTGTTTCAGTTCAGTTTTTTCCTACGCAACATGATGCGGACATCCAACCGTCCATGCTTATCCGAGGAGCTGAAGATCGACGGCCGAGATCACTTTATTTCATTTCAGTTTATTAAGTGTATTTTTATTTAATTTTTGCAAGTTCCAACTTAATATTGATCTTTTATTTCATAGTATTTAAGTAAAGAATTGAGTTTATTCATTCATTGGCTATCTTCACAGTTGAGTTTTGCATTCTTGATATCAACTTTTGTGGACAAGTCATCATCAACAACTACAGCAGGATTTTCGATATTCATAATAGGCTTTTTTACACAAGTAAGATTCTCAAACAAGTTATTTTAAATTTTAAAATGTCTTTGCAAATATTCAAAACATATATAAGTTTTTTTTCTTTTATTCTTGCAGCTTGTAACAACATTTGGTTTTCCATATGCTGAGAACTATTCCAAATTATATCGTATCATATGGTCTTTATTTCCTCCCAATCTTCTGGCAAAAGCTCTTGATATACTTGTTAGTGCGACTGCCACTAATGAAGATTCAGGGATTCGTTGGCATAGGCGAGGTCATTGTACTTATAAGGAACATAACTGTGTAATTACTATTGTAAGTTCCAATATCAGATTTATAGATTATTACATCATCAGGTTCCCTTTAGGTGTGGACTGATAAGCAACTTTCTACAGGAAAATATCTTTCTTTGGCTTATCTCCACATTCTTTTTGTGATTTGCCTTGGCAATATATTTGGATAATATACTTCCCGATTCAAATGGTGTGAGAAAATCAGTTTTTTACTTTCTGAAGCATTCATACTGGACTGGGAAAGGTGGAACTAGAGTGGAAGGTGACCTATGCGGTTTTGCAAACTCTATTCCACCTATAGAGTATGTTGCTCCAGATGATGAGGACGTTCTTGCAGAAGAAACAACTATAAAACAACAAGTAATTGGTAATAGTGTTGATCAGAGTTTAGCAGTTACAATACTTGGCCTTGCAAAAACGTACCTAGGAGCTACTAAACTTTGTTGTTGTAAATGCAAGAGATCTTCTCCCTATCATGCTATTAAGGTATTGCACCTTTTGTGTGTTTATATCATTTCAAATATAAATTTTCAGTCTTGGCTTTTTCTTTACGGGGTATTTGGGTAAATATAGCAAAAGATCAACTATTTTGCCTTCTAGGACCCAATGGAGCAGGAAAAACTACAGTTATAAATTGTCTGATTGGTATTACTCCAGTTACTGATGGAGATGGTAGGAGACTTGTATTTCCTATATCTTTTTTGTTTGCTAAAAAAAAAAAGTTTTATAAATAATCATTACATCTTGCAGCTTTGATTTATGGAAATTCAATTCGAAGTTCTGTTGGTATGTCAAATATCCGAAGAACGATTGGTGTTTGTCCCCAGGTTCAGTTTCTTTTCATTCATGACAACTAATCTAGTTCTATTCACAAGTGTCAGAAAACTAAGTTGTAAATATGCATTTTTCTTTATCAGTTTGAGACTTTGTGGGATGCATTGACAGCAGAAGAGCATATGCATCTTTTTTCTAGCATTAAAGGTTTACATCCTTCAATAATCAAATCGGTAGGTGATTTATGGCTTACTTATTTGTATGAGAATATTCCAGAACTTTGAATCAGAGTTTAATAAAGCAATTTGGGAGATACTGTTTTGATGATTTACCATATTTTCTTCCACATCTAATAGTTTAACATAACTTCACCCATTTTTATCAATTGAGTGTAAAAATGCAGGTAAGTGAAAAGTCTTTGGCTGAGGTAAACCTTACTAGTGCCTCTCATATACGATCTGGAAGCTATAGTGGAGGTATGAAGCGCCGGCTTAGCTTTGCGATAGCCCTGATTGGAGATCCACAAATGGTTTTCCTTGATGAGCCGGTAAGAAATTGCAATGTTTTTAATATACCTAATGATTGTGATTACCATTTTTTTTGCGGCCTTTTTTCTCAACATTTTGATATCTTTTATCCATGTGGATTGTTCCTTTGTTTATTTTCTGATCATCCTTTTTTTATTTTTTGATGATGGACTTTTTTTTTTTTTTTTTTTTTTTTTGCCAAAAAAATTGATTTCATAGAAATTCCAACGCATGAATTTTTAACCCAATTAGATTTGCAATTTTTTTTAGTACAACAACAACAACATCAACATCAAGCATTTATCCCATAATGTGGGGTCGATTACATGAATCATTTTTTTTCCATTGTGTCATGTTTAAAGTCAAATTCTCATTTAAATCTAATAAAAAAATATTATTTCTAATATTTTCTAACCAAGCCTTTTTAGTTCTATCTCTACCTTTCTTAACATAATCCAAACTATTCTCCTAACTGGGTCATCGGAAGTCCATTGTTTTATGTGACCAAACCATCTAAGACGACTTTCTCTAATCTTTTCTTCCACTAGAGCTATTCCAACCTTCTCATATATATGCTTGTTATGTATCCTTTCTCTAAGAGTAAAGCCACGTATCCACCTGAGCATCCTTATCTCTGCAAGACTTAACTTAATATTATGCTTATCTTTTAATGGCCAATATTCTGCGTCATAAAACATTGCATGTCTCACCACCATCTTGTAGAATTTTCCTTTAAATTTGAGGGAGATTTTTCTATCACACAACAAGCTTGATGCATTCCTCCACTTCAACAATCCAACTTGAATTTTACTAATAATATCCCCATTGTTGACCTCTTGATAAATAACCAAAACATGTAACAAAATCTTAGAAGAATATTTGCACACATGTCTCTGCTAAATCCCGCAAATCCTGCTCAAATCCCGCCATATCATTGTACATCCGTCACCGTTTTGGGATTTCTGCGAAAATCCTGCGACAATTCCTCGATCCCACTCCCATTCGCATCTTTAAATACCGAGCAAACGAAGTCGAAGTTCTCGGTTCCTTCGACGCTTCACTTCTCCCTCCGATCTCCCTCCAACCGAGCTCCTCAAATGAACAGCCCTCCGACCTTCTTCAGTTCTTCCTCCTCCTTGTCCGACCACAGCTCCAGGACAAACCCAACGAAGGCCATGATCCGACCCCTACCTCTCTCGCAAGCCTCTCCCGACCCCTTTCTTTCTCCGATCCACAGAGAGAGAGAGAGAGAGAGAGAGAGAGACCCTACCTCCTTAGTTGTCGTTCAACTTCACACCATCCACGACTTTCCTTCCCTGTCGGTTCGGAGATTCTGACATTTTGATCAGAAGCAAGAGCTCGCTTGCTGTGAAGGAAATTTTCTATTAATAAAATATTATTTTAAATTAAGCGCAGGTAAAGCGCAAGTAAAGCGCAGGTAAAGCGCAGGTAAAGCGCAACTAAAGCGCAAGTAAAGCGCAACTAAAATGCTAGTCAAAAAGCGCAAGTAAAGTGCAGGGTAAGTAAAGCGCAACTAAAGCGCAAGCTGATGCGAAAATTTTTTATTGGATGTTCAATTAATTAATATTAATTAAGTTATAATTAATTTTTAATTAATTATAACTTATTATTTTTAATTAATTTTAATTAATTTAATTAATTATTTTAATTAATTATATTAATTATAAATGATTAATTAAAAATAATTACTTATTTAATTATAATTAATTGATGTTAATTATAATTAATAAAAGTGTGCCTCTTGCCTTGCCTCAATATGCGTGTCAACGCCTTCATCAATCGTCAAGGTATAATCCCTTAAATTCAAAATTTCGAGAACTCGCTTTCGTTGTTTGCGGTGGACTGGAAAACTGTCGATACATGCCTTTATTTCGCGTGGTGGGATGGGACCCCAATGCGGCGCTTACGACGAAACGGGTAATCACCTAAAAGCCCCATTTCAAAGTTCGTGACGCACCGGAAAACTGTCTATACACGTCTTTATTACGCGTGGTGGGATAAGACTCCGATGCGGCACCTACGGAGAGACGAGGTTATTTATAAGTACCATGGAGTGAGGGGAAAGCAAACTGTCATTTTAAAAAGGTACCCTCAAAGACCTCATACACGCCTTTATTGCGCGTGGTGGGAAGGAAGATCACGGCCACGGTGTCCTCGCCCAAAGACACCTACCATACACGCCTTTATTGCGCGTGATGGGAATGTCCAGTTTCTTGTAGTTTCCCCTAAACGGGAGAGACGCCGGGAGACTGCCGAAATTTCGGGTGAATACGAGATCGTACCTGGACTTGATTGAACTCAAAAAGACATTAATGAACTAAGTGCAAACTTGAATAAAAGGCTTAAATCAAACTTGGATAAATGATGAACTTGAACTTGTAAGGACTGCAGGGGACTCGAATGAAGGGAAGAGGTTCATCTTAAGCCTGAATTGTACTTGGATTCAAACTTGTGAACCTTTTAGCAGAATTTGAACTTGATTAAATCATATGCAAGGGAACTCAAGTTTAAATGAACCTAAATGTAAGAGAACTCAAGCTTAAATAAACTATGAAGAACTGCACTTGAACTCGAGTTGGACTTGAGTTAGAGCATAAGCTTGAACTCAAAAGGCGTGAAACCTAAGTTGAACTTGGACCTAATTGAATGGTATAAAATATAATTCGAAACAAAGTTTGATAAAGTGGTAGCATGCAGACGAGGAGCGAATGAATAATACAGTGATATCTTCATTGTTAACAAATTCAAAATTTTCAATGAATATTAGGGAATTGTCACTCCAATCGGAATATACGAGTTGTCAAGCAAACTCATTAGAAGATTTGAATCAGCCTCATATAACAGTTGAAGACTTGTAGAATTCAACATGGCTCATTCATATCTAGCAATCAAATGTACTCAAGCTTATAAGCAATGAAATTGACAAGGGTAATCATGAATGTGCAACACTGCCTTGTGAATAACAAAGCTGAAATAGATACAATCAATACAACAATCATGTAAGAGGATGCAGCAGTATTTTCTACCTAAGAGCACTAACGAAGGGATTTAAATGGTATAAGACAATACAACTTGTCCACGAATGACTATAGAAGAATCATCACACATAATACATACAATAGATCTATAAATGAAAATATACATGCCACATTCAAGCAATGATGGTAAGAAAGTTGTAAGTATGGTGCACATGCAATGTTGCATACAACAGACTCTTAGCACTGGCTGGCGATTACAAAAGAGCCTTCGTAGGCATAATAGCAGTAAGCAGCAATGTGATGGATGCTACATCATCCCTGCAATCAACCACCGTTCAGTGCCATGTATATACATTGATTTCCCCATAATCAAGGGTGGCCGATATGCAATAAATACAAACACATGTGGAAATTCTTATAAGCCGTTGCAGAGGATCCGTCATAAGCTCAACATGTCTACAAATAAGTACATGAAGAATGGTGGTAAAGACAGCATGTCCTTAGCACATTCAGGGTACATACCAATTATTGTGGCAAAGGCACTATAACACCTCCATGAGCAACAATTGTCCAACATCCGTCAAACACATCGGCCCTCTATAAGCAAGGATAGATGATACGTAGTGAAGTACAAATATCTAAGGGGTTGTAGAATACTCATTATACATACTACATGCTATTTGCAAGTAGAAGCCAATGAGATACGACAAGTACAAAGTATCTACAAGTCGTTATAGAAGAGCTATCGAGCACCCAATGTATCATCTACAGGGTGAATGCAGAAGAAAAATGTAATATATAAGAGCTCTTATAAGATGTTGTAAAAGATCTACAATACATACAAGCTCTCTACAAAGACAGATGTACGTGCCACATGCACTTATGGGTATATGCGTAAAGACTTCAGTAAATGAAGTATCATGAAGTCAATTTCAGTCTGTGAAGGAATACATCTACCTGCCTACTTCTAGCAGTGACAGATGTACTACATGAGCCAAATACCACAATAAAGTGCACGAAGAATACGATAGATACAAGTTCCCACGAGCTTCTGTTGGAGCCCCGCTACGAATATTACATACTACCTACGAATCAAAGCAGGAGATTAGTTAGTGCATTACAATCTACCTGCATAAATCATGCAAGTAGTGCACGACAATCTACCCGTACAAAGCAGCGAACAACTCAATTCAGAAGCTTCTACGCCCCGCCACCGGATCCGCAACACTCGTACTAGCGGACAGAAGGCTTGTATAAGCTCTCAAATGAAATGTTGTGAATTCAAATGACAGTTACCTACACAACTAAGATATTTCAAAATACCCCTACACGTGCACCATAATTTGTATACACATAGGTACACTAAATGGGAAAATATAATCTCGACCCATATGGGCCCCGACGAGCGTATTATTGGTACACACATGACGCCTAGGGATGCTGCGCGGGTCGATAAGTGAATTCAAGTTCGAATCCGACCCTTCTATGCAGATCAATAGGAGTCGACAGGGTTCGAACCTTCAAACAAATACACGGTTGTGGGGACTGATGTATTTATTTTAATATATTAATATTATGCCTTCAATGTCTATAATCAAGAGAATTCACTAGCAAAGGCATAAAGCCTAAGAAACTCGATCCTCCTAAGCGGGTAAAAAGGAGCCAACAAGGTTCAATAAATAACTATAAAATGCCCCAAACACACACATGGGCTCCGACGAGCATGTTATTGGTACACACGTGACATCCAGGGATGCTGCGCGGGTCAATAAATTTGAACTCGATCCTCCTAAGCGGGTAAATAGAAGCCAACAAGATTCAATAGATAATTATAAAATGCCCCCAAACACCCGCATAGGCCCCGACGAGCGTGTTGTAGGAACACATGTGACGTTTAGGGATGCTGCGCAGGTAAATAAGTGAATTCAAATTCGAATCTGATCCTTCTATACGGGTCAATAGAAGTCGATGAGGTTTAAATCTTTAAACAAATATACAGTTGTGGTGTCTAGTATATTTATTTTAATACATTCATATTAAGCCTTCAAGGCCTATAATCAAGAAAATTCACTAACAAATGTATAAAGCCTACGAAACTCAATCCCCTATCGGCAAGTTGATAAGGTCAACAAGGTTTAATCAAATGGAAATGACCCCCTTCACCCCGATGATGGCTGTGTTAAATGCATATCTCAACCGGATGGATCTATTTCAAATAATCCAAAATGTCGTCCAAATGTCTATCAAAATTCAAATTCCAAAAAATCCCAAAAATCCCAAATTCCAAATATTTAAAACTGAAATCCATCCGTCAACACTTAAAGCAAAATCCATCCACCATCCACAGCAGTTTGTCGAGGTGGACAAATTCGATTATAACTCCAGCTCACATAGAGTCAAATGTCTAGTCAAAAATATCACTATGATCCATTCTTAAATAAATTCCTATCAGTAAGGACGTGGCACGTGTCCTCTAACAGGCGATTTTGCCTCCAAATGGCACCGCAAGATAAACGGTTATGACCCGGGGCCCTCTGAACCGAGTGGTTTTGCCGCCAAATGACACCACAAAATACCGGTTATGGACAGAGCCAATACGCTCCTTAGTGGTATCAAATCCTTGAGATATGAATAAATAGGATATTATCGATAGGGCACAATGCCCTCTGTTAGCTAAGGTGGATTCAAATGTGTCCCCTTAGACAAGCATTCACCCAGGTCTACAAGGTCCCCTTGAAAGAAGCAACCCATGGCTGCCGACAAGGATCCTTCTGTCAGGTTGGGTTGACTACCTCCTCTGACTAAGTAGACCAGGGACCACGATGGCTCGGGACGACAGAACCATGGGATCTTGATCGGGTCCATCATACATTTCCCTACCAACCTCTTTTTGAGTGCAAGATGGTGAAATTTCTAATTTTAAATATTAAAATTCCCAAACCTTCAAACCCTCAAATTTTCCAACCAAATACCCATGTTGCTACTATATGCCATATAACACGTATTTTTTACATATCTGATTGACGACTAGCCTTAATCGAAAGTTCTCTCTCGTTATCAGGAGGGGTAAATAACTATAGGGGCTTGCGCCTATAGGAAACCAGAACTCAGATCATAAAGTCCTCGCAAAAATGATGGCCAAATCTCTGGTTAATTAACTATATATTCGATTTTAGATCTACTCAAATGAAAACCTTTAGACTCTAAGGTTGACCAATTTGCAATTTTTTTAGTGATGCAAAAAAAAAGACATTTTGAGGAGACATGCTATAATTACCATTTTTGGTGCAAGCAAGTTTCTTCATATTAAAACATTATTTACACTTAATCTATTTGTTTCAAGAGAGTTGAGCAACTTCTAGAGGGTTATGTTTTTCAAAAATCCAATCCTCCACAAATGCTTAATGATGTAACTTGCTGATTGTCCAGCTAAAACCACGGCAGATTTTGTCATCTTTTGTTGTGAAATCATTTTAAATATTATAAAATTGCGCTAGCTACAAAAATTCATCATAGATGTTTTTTATTTGCAGGAAATATGTCTACTCTTCTGATTCTCCTTACTCTTTTTTCCTAGTTCATGCTCAACTGATTCACAAATTTGTTTGTTTCAGACCACTGGGATGGATCCTATCAGCAGAAGACATGTATGGGATATTATAGAAAATGCAAAGAAGGGACGAGCTATTGTATTAACAACCCATTCTATGGAGGAAGCTGACATATTGAGTGACCGCATTGCCATCATGGCAAAGGGAAGGTTGAGGTGTTTTGGAACCTCTATAAGGTTGAAGTCAAGATTTGGAACTGGTTATATTGCTAATATTAGTTTTCTTGGAAGTACTCCTATTGATGCAGAATGGGAAGCTGCACATGTGCGTAAAGCTCAGCTTGTGAAGCATTTCTTCAAACATGTAAGTCACAAATCTTGCAAAGGAAATGGTGAATTGAGAGTCTCTGACATAAAGTTGCATTTGACAGCATTTAGATGTGGAGCCAAAAGAGGAAAACAAGTCATTTTTGACATTTGTCATTCCTCGTGATAAAGAAAGGCAATTGACGATAAGTTAAATGTGTTTTGGATGAAATCCTGGAAGTCTGCATATATTATTAATCTTCAAAGTTGGTTTACATAAATTTCTTAATCAGGACTTCTTTGCTGAGCTTCAAGATAGAGAGAATGAACTTGGAATCTCAGACATTCAGCTTGGTCTCACTACACTTGAAGAGGTTTTCTTGAACATTGCAAAGCAGGCAGAGTTAGAAAGTGCATCAGCTGATGGGAGCATGATTATGCTAAATTTATCATCTGGGGGGGGTAAATTGTCACTTTCCATCTAATTTTTATTCTTTATTACAAGGGTTTTTAAGAAATTACCCCCCTAAAAGTTTTAAAATACTATGGTATGCGCCCAGAACAACCAAAATTTGTTCCGAGGGTGTTGGCTCCGAAAACCCCCACAAGGGCGCTCCCCCCTGGGCCCCATGACCTAATCGGGCAAGTCGAACCCCACCAGAGGGCGCTGCCCCCTTGGACCCCCAACATATATGCGAAGCATACGACGATCAAGAATATGAACAAATAACGGTCAAGCCAAATTCAAGGCAACTTTAACATACATCTTTGTAGAAATTGAATGATTAATCTTAAGCGACCATTTTCTTTTATCTCTATTGTTTGGTTGCTATTGACCCTTTTTTTTTTTGTAGCGATGGGTCGAGCTAAATTCGAGGCAACACCAACAGTTACCTATAAATTTGCCCCCTCTCCATAAAATTAAGGATGGATCTGCCCCTGCTAGAGATCCAGAGTTTGAGTAAGGAAATTATGTTCAAAAGCAGGCCAAGATCACTCACATCAACCCTCCATATACACTATAGAGGAAAAGGCTCTTGAAGAGCAGATTTTTTTTTTTGGTGTGTTTAAGGCCATCGTGGTATATTTGATGATTAGAATGTTATAACAATAAATATGTTGGGAAGCTACAATTTGTCTGATCATATAGACTTGAGAAGATGTGATCTTGCTTCAAATAATGCATGATAAAAAAACTAAGCATGCAACCTACAAGCTAGAGAAAAAAGATCGAGTTGGAGAGTTTTGAAAGAAGTTCGTTCTTATAACTAAGAGTATAGAAATGACAATATTAGAGGTGTGGAAGCAATGGAGACGAAGGAACTGTTAGAAGATGAAGAGAAGAAATCAGGAAAAATACTATAACTGTAAGTAATCAGTAAGAGGATAGGACAGGAAATTGTCATCATTGAACATGAAAATTTTATTTCTAATCCGTCAAGTATGTCCAATTTACTAAAAAGAGAGCACCATGATCCAAATTGTTGGGATATAATTTACAAGAAACTGATAGGTAAGTTGATCATATTAGAAATGAAAATGTTAAGAAGAATGTATGATAAAATAGACTACAAAATGATTATATTAGAGGGATTATGAATGTATAATGCAATAAAAAAATAGATTTAGATAGTTGAGAATGTACAACTGTTGTAAAGAAATGCATAAAAAGTATGTTAAAAAAATAAATGTTGAACTATGATGAAAACCAAGTGTACATTGATTGTACTCGTGCTGATTAGGAGTTTAATTTATGATAAATTATGTCCACAACTTGGAAGTGCTTCAACGATACATTTTTAATCATTCATTTGATGCAAATTAAGGCTTTGTTTGGAATGGCTTTCTTTTTACTTCTTAAAACAGCTTTTTAGTACAAAATTAAAAAGTTGCTTTAAGAAGCAGAAAGAAAGCCATCTCAAACGAAGCCTTAATTATTCTTTCTGAATGCTCAATATGATTATGAATTTGACAAATGAAATTTACTTCCAAGTAAATAATTTAAATATCTGTTTCATATTTCTTTCAGATACCAAAAGGGTCAAGGTTTGTGGGGATTCCTGGAACAGATACAACAAATCTAAGAGGTTTAATGGTCGAAATCTACTGGGAACAGGATGATTCTGGTAATCTATGCATCTCAGGACATTCACCTGAAATCTCTATACCACCTAATGTAAAAATTCCAGAAAATAATCTAACTTCTAGTAGAAATTCTCGGCGAGGATCTTCATCAAAGATTGGATTTGTCATCGACCCAAATCAAATTCTAAATAGATGATTCTGAACTGCATATTTATTACTAAGAAATAAGGATTCATCAACATTTACTACTTAAAAAAAAATCAACATTTACTACTTAGAAAAAATTTAAGTTTTTTGTTTTAGAATCATTCAGCCCAGCACATAATTGGTGGTCTCCTTCCATGCAATTCTTATTTATAATGAGCTTGTCTTTATTTTTCCTATTGAGAGTAAGCTATTGATTCATTTACCAACCAAATTGTTAAAGATATGTTACACGCTAATCTGTGGAATTTTGGTTTACCAAAGTTTTCTTAGGCCTCTTTTAGGACAGCTTTCTTATCACTTCTCAAAACAATATCTTAGTATAAAAATTAAAATTTTTGTAGTAAAAAGTTACTTTAAGAACCAGCAAGAAATCTGCCCCAAACGAAGCCTTAATATTTTTTTTTAGAATTAAATATAATATGAGGTCTAATGGATTTTGAGATTGTTCTTCTCATAAGAGCAAGATTATCTTATTATTTTAATAGCTAAAATGATGAGGCAATATGTGTTTCTCTAATGAGAATGAAGCTTTAAGTGAGCTAACATGATTTTTATCAACTGATGGCAGGGGCAGAGCCAGCCTCTTTTTTTTTAGGATCGGCAAAATAAGATTGTGAAATATATAATTTTATTTATAAAATATTAAAAAAAAAATTAAGAATTTAGGTAACTAAATTTATTGAATTTAGGCAAAATAGTTAAAATGCTTATTTTTTTTCTTAAAAAAAAAGATTTCAGGATGGGCAATTGCCCACCTTGAACTTTTCCCGGTTCCACCGTTGATTGATGGGCGCTAATGGGAACAATTTAATCGAGATACAAACATTATTG